ATTCAGTCTAAGAGGAGTGAATGTTTCATTGAATGCAGTTACTTCTAAGTGCTTTTTCTACATATAAACTGCCCTTGAATGTAAATTCCGTGTTAACTAAAACAGACTCTTTTGGGTGCTAGAGGCGAAAGATTACGACCCGCAGTAAAAGTATATCATCAAACTCTTTTCTATTTTATTTGCCAACTTATTTTCATTAACAATGTATAATGCCCATGTAATCTGCACTGTTTAGCAATACAGCTTGTAATTACTGTAATGAAATTAGGCCTCAATTCTGGTAAACATGAGTGGTGAAATGACTATGATTGGCCTGTAAATGGGAACAATGTGAAATCCGACACTGACAACTTGTAGCTTGTAATTATGCTGTTTTGCTGACACACAGAGTGTAATTATGTTGCTTACTTTAGCTATGATGTGTTAAACACTCAAGTGTTGCCATTTATAATGTCTGTGAATTAAACAACAATTCAGTACACTGAAAATGCAGCATATTGCAGTGTATATTTGCATGCATGTCAGTCATGGCCACCCTCACAACCAAAGGCCCAGACCATGTTCCGTTTGCCGGAAAGGGAAACTGAAGTTCATGGAAAATTGTTAATACCACTAATCATACTGGGTGGTCCACCGCTGGCCTTGTAAGGCTTCCAGAACTCAACCCAGCATGCCAGCTCCTGGGTTTCACTCCTTTTTTGTTGCCTATTTTAGTCCTTCACGCTTCTCCTTCTTTCTAGCATTTAGGTTTCTCTTTGGAATATATCAGCACATCAGATAACCTCAAGGTATAACAGCAAAACCTTGAGTTCACACACACACACACACACACACACACACACACACACACATATACTCAGGAGTTGTTTTTTTGTCTGGCTGGTGTGTGCAAGTTGTGTGTATTTTTTTTCTTTAACAGCATGGAGTTAAGACTGAATCAGCTGTTCACACAACATTCACACATAGCATATACACACACACACACACACACACACAATACTCAGACATGTACAAAAGCCCAATTGCACAGTAGCAAACACAATTTTTTGCACACAAAAACATTCACACACCTGAAGAGGGGGCTGTGCCTCCGGGGGCCACGTCAGTTACCTGCTGACACACAGGCTAGTGATTGATGAGACGCCGGGGGCGCTGGAGTAGACTTTGTCAGCTGCTCATAATTTATACATCTTATCTCCATCAGAAGAAAGAGTGCCACGTTGTGTATATGGAGATGAAAACACCGGGCTTGTTTAGGCAGCGGTGACAGGGTAGCTGCTAGCTGTTAGCCGTGGCGCAGAGTGATAACTCAGATCGCTATCTGTTAGCTTACTCACCGGGTCCCTCTGTGGCCAGAGCCTTCACTCTTTGACTGTGACGAATCCTCTGTCTGCCAGTCATTCTCACTCACTTTCATTGCCTCTCTCTCATGTTTCCCTCTCTCTTTGTGTCTCCTTTCCTCCATTCTGTGACCCTCTCTCTTTCTCTTCTCTGTCTATCTCCTGTCACATTCTCAGGCCAGACAGGCCCAAGCTTCTGCTGAAAGCTGCTGGCTCTTCCTCAGTCCACTCATAGGGCGAAGGACAGGACAGAGGCAAGGCTTGAGTTACAGAATAATTAGCTCTGTCAGCGTCATGTTGAAATCAATGATCAGATGTTGTGTGGGGGTGGGCCAGAGGGTTCTCTTTTAGTACAGTACAGGCGAGATTGCTTTTGAATTAACATTCTCAGAGTTCATTTGTGTTTTATGTATAACATCTATACTGTTGGGGCATGAGTGAGGACTTGCAATTGCCATTTTGTATATTATTGATATTGTTTTGAATAGATCATTTCTTTGTCAGCACTACAATAGTCTTAATGTGTGATTAAAGGGTCAGTGTTTCAGAAGAAAAAAACAAGAGTACACCGTCTTTCTGATAAAAATCAAATGCAGTGTCTTGTTGATTTAGTTTTTGTGGTTGTAACTATTTTGATTTTAATTTTAATTTTACTGTAGTTCCAGCCAAGAAACAAAGAAACGTATCACTGATCCTGCATGGAGCTTGTCAGTGGTAAATTAATCTGACTTTCGTTGCCCAGTACACTCAGCGTTTGATATTACCTTCCTGAATGTGAAAAGAAAGTTTCTCAACCTGCAGAACTTCACCTTACTCTCCTCCAAATGTCTTTTTAGCACGCTTTGTTCTCACAAATTGTGTTCAGATGTTTTTAAGAGTGTCAGTTAACTACCGCATCAGCAAAACAACTTTGATTCCATAACCCCGTCCCACTATTGATCTTGCCTTGTAGATAAAAGAGTGCTCTCTCTGAAATCATGCATTTTTCATTGTGGTATCAATGGCAGCCTTTGCATTTGCCATCCCACTTAGCTTAAAGCTATACTCACAAATGCTGTCTGTATTGCTCTATTGATTCAGAGGGTTTGCATCTTGTATATTTGAGATACCAATCCCTTGGCATCATTTTACTTTGTCTTTGATCAGCCTGATTGCTCTACAGACAGAAAACAATCAAGCAAATTATTCTAATTAATGTTTTTTTGGTGGAGATTAGCATTGTGCCTTGTATTTAATATTCAGATTGAAACAGATTAATTTTAATTTAATAAAGTGTGTGTGGTTAATTAAATCTGTTTGGGCAATTATTGGTGCACAAAATATATTTTTTTCAATATGACACACTGGCCAAATTATTTTCTTGAGAATATTTGTACTGTTATTTTAAAATGTTCATATCATATTCTTACCAGACACACACATTGAGGGTAAAATTGAGAATAGAAGTCCAATATTACCTTTCTCACCAAATAGTAGTTGACATTGTGGTGCTGATGCTTGTCAGGTGTTAAACAACACTTTGGACCAAGGACAGACAAATGAGAGAGTCCTCCTCTCTAATAGAATCTAAAAAGATGAAAAATATAGTGCAGGAGGCAGGAAGGACTAGTCAAAGAGGTGACCATCAGCATCTCAGCAGCGAGGCTTGGCAGCCTCGAGCCTGCCATGGTGTAATTGGAGAGAAAACATATATGGGAGCAAATAACCCCCTGTCAGGGACATTAAAAGGAGATGTTGTGACGACTGAGAGCCCTGCCAGCTGAGCACAGCAAAGTGGAGGGGAAGAATAAGGCCCATCAAATGGAAACTGCTTGGAGCAACGGTACATCCAAATATTCAAGATAATTGTTGACTGGTAGCAGAATAGAGCATCCATGTTTGTTTGTGGAACTTTTCCTCAAGAGAAAAACAGATGTTTTTTTTTACTATTGTCATTGTTATCCATTCGCTGTCATCCTGTGATTGATTTGTCTGCTTTGATAAGTATAATTTGAAAATGGTAAAGGGCAACATTTACAGTAGAAGTGCTCAGCCCTTATAACTGTGGGGCAACATAAAGGTAGGTGATGGAAACAGGAAGGGAAATATGACTCACTGTCAAAACTGAAATGTAAAAGGGAAACACAATTTCATAAATTAAACACATGGTTTTACTCGATGGGAAGTGCCAATACCAACCATTTGAGTATGGCAAACAACACTAAACAATAATATACAACATGCATTTATTCTGAACAGTAATTTTACCACAAATAATATGTTTGAGCTTTTATACGATGCCGTTGGAAACAAGTAGAACCTTCCCATAATTTCTGTGTGGACCTGAGGACTCTGTTGAGAGGTCCCTGTAGTGCCATTTAAACCCTCCTTAGTCAACCTTTGTTCGGCAACTACTATACGTAGCTCTTCTAAACCAACAATATCGATTTTTGCATGATTTACAAAATTCCAGCTTTTTAAATTATTGAATTACCTAAGGTTCTCTGTCATGCTCTTTTTCCACTTTTCTCCCATGTCTCCTCCACGATCATCACAGAAGCATTTGCCTGTGTCTCCTGCCTGACCCAACCATTCAACTGAGAGTGTCAAAATGTTAATGATGATCCCCCCCAAAAGTGCTTGAAGGTTAAATAAAGTCTTCATAAGCTGTCGGTCAAAATTCAATAATTTATTTACTTGGCATGTTTCCACCTTCCCTGCCACTCTGCCTCAATTTTTGTTCCTATCCAGGGACAGGGCTTGTCTTGTTGTGTTTTGTTACATTTTTTTGTGTGCAGGCAGCTGTGCAGGCAGCCTTTGTCTGTGTGCGAGATTGCTGCTTTAGCTCGGTGGCCCCTCTCATTAATCATCCGGTGAGACTATTTATAATGCGGCAGCCAAGCCGCCACCTCGGTTGCCATTGGCTTTTGTCACCGTAGCACCCTGTTTTGTGGCAGGAGGAAGCCTAATTATTAACTGTTAAGATGACAGCCAGCGCTGTATCGTCAACACAGCTGGCTGACAGTCAGACTGAAGTGATAGCCCACTGGGCAGCCATAGACCTATAGAGCCATAGAACTGCATGGCTCAATGGAATTGTCTGGACTTTTAACATTTTGATAATAATTTACGTTATTAAACTAATGCTAACCCACTATGAAAATTGCCTGATGAAAAAAACACGTCAAATTGTCAAAGAATGTCATCAGTATGCTGCTTTTGTTTATCTATCAAATATTTGTTTCAAAACAACATATAAATACAGTCACCATACACACTTGTTTAATCAGGTAAATATTGTTTTCTGATTAGATTTGAAGTTACATTGCAGGAGATATTATCTGGTAGAATGTCTTGAGTTACCTCAACATTTCATTGACAGTGCTCTCTAATTTAATTTGAAATGACTCTGGCAGAGGCTGCCATGTCTTGAAGTCTGTTTCCTTATTATTAATCAGGTATGTTCATGCTGGATACAGATATCAAACTAGCATGGATAATTAAATCACTCCCTGCTATGCTACGCGATTCCATATCTTGCAAATCGGAGCTTGACATTGCACTGGACTTGAAGTGTTAAAAGGATATAATATGTATCTTATTGTGGTGGGGGGGGGGGAAGAATTTGTGAAAGCTTTCTGGAGAATGACAGTCTTTGTTATTTGTCTTCTGACTCCTTAGCAGACAGCTATCAGGAAGAAAGAGAACTCACTGTGCACCACCGAGAGAAGAAAATATGTGAGTCAGACTTTCCCCTCCTCCCTCCTTTCCCCAAAGCTTGAGATTCCCCTCCCAAAAATGAAAAGGATCAAGTTGCTGTCACTGTCACCGAACAAACATAAACTTTTCTGGCACCTAATAAATAGGCAGTGTGGCATTGTTCTCAAAGCCAGACAGGTGTGTCTGCCTCAGTGATGATGGATTCCACTATTCTGTATGGAAAGCCTGTTGGCTTTCTTGTCATATGTTGTCACACATCTCTCTCCTGAGAGAAAAAGGTTTGAAAGATGGCCAAAAGTAATTACACAGACGCTTCCCTGATGCTGTTGCCATGTGTTTTCTCCTGCTCATCACCACTAAAGGTAGAAAAAAAATCTGTTACCCACAGCTATATTTCACAGGGAGACGAGGAGTGCAGACATGTTGGTACTCTGCTGCTCTTCTCGTAGTGTTGATTGCTTGCTCATTAACCCGTCAGGTTTATTTTTTCCTGGCTATGAACGCTAGCTTTGGAAAAGGACCCAGGGCAGTTTTACTCATCACTAAGGTGGAGCAGCAGGTCCTGATCTGGGTGTGTGGTGATGACATTATTTGCACCTGAATGGCAGGTACATCAACATCTCCTTGTAAACGTATCAAAGGAGAGACAGTGGCACCTTTGTTCTCCTCACAGAGCACTTGGGTTGCTGACAGCTTGCTGACTGATATTATCATTCTTAATGTCAGTAAGTAGTGCCATGCCAGATAAAGAATCAGTTTCCTCTTGGTACTGGAGAGCTCATTTATCTATCCGCAGCTCGCCCTGGCATATGCCGAAATTGGAGCCGGAAGTAGTCTTCCATTTCAGTCAGAAAGAGAGGTGTGTTTTTTTCCTCGCCATCTCCTAATCTTCTCTCACTGTCTCTGCTTTTCTCTCCTTGTCTCTGTCTCCCTGGTTATTGTGATTCTGAGTGAGTGAGACTTAACTGAGAGAAAAGATAGAGCTTAAGTCAGTTGTAATATGTTAGGACAACTCTTGATTAGATTCTGTCAGAGTAAGGTCTTTCTGTGTCTCTCATGCTGCAGCCTCCCCATCCCGGAACACTAGCTTAACAATGAACAGATATCAGGCCACTCGAGGGCCCTTCCGTGAATTTGTTACCAAAATAAGACCTTTGTTAGAGTGATACTTCTTCAGAGGGTGAGCCACAAAATGATCTAATTGTACCTCTTGTGCAGTATATTTCCCTGTTCTGAGGGGGTCATGCATGTAACTAGTTCTTGCAGAGGAACCAGGATATAAAACCTGCAGACAATAAGCCTTTCTATAACCGTACAGTGGTCACCAAAGGTCTTTGAGACTTCATATTGAAAAGGTTAAACACTGACAGGGAACAAGCCTTACATGGTGGTTACACAACCTCAACTGAACAGCAAAAAATGATGGCATTTGAAAAAAAAAAAAAAGAAATGGTACAGGAGAAAAGTCAATGTTTTTTTATTTTAATTTTAGACAAAAATAAAAAAGAGAAAACTAAAACAAACCACACTTGACAAGGCTGGTGCATCATGTTCCCATTGCTCAGAAAATATCACAAACACAACTGAGTGCTTTGCTATAAGTGCGCAATTCAAAGTACCTTTCTCCATGTTTTTTCTTTCACCCCTCCCTTCTCCTATCCTCTTACCACCTACCCTTTGCTATAATGTTGACAGACAGCACTGATATCCTCTGAGCCGGTGATAGATACGTCATATCTTGGGGAGAAACGGGTTTGTCCTCAGCAGGTGAATACACGGCTTCCTCATCCTCCGAGCCGACAGACACACATGACACTTTTCGACACTCTCTCCCTGATAGCACTTTGGCATGCAGGCAGAATCAAAGGGGGCATCTTTCACATGCAATTAGAGCGGAGAATAAAGACGATGAAGTGCGGTGTACAAAGGAAAGCTGGGGATCACAAGGCTGTAATGAATGGTGATTAGAAGAAGAGGCCCCAGCCAATGAGCTGCATTGAGCTGGGGAAACAAACTCATCTTGGTAGGGTTCTCTATTGAAGGCACTGTTAGACATTATCAAAGCTGATAATGACAGACAGCAACTGCTAGACAGACATGACTCAAAACTATGTTAGATCAATGTGTGTTTTTAAGATTGTTAGGCTTGTGTTTCGAACTCTTTGCCGATGATAATTACACATAATAATTCAATCCCTGGTTTGAATATGGTGTGTGTTCACTCTGAAAGAGACAAAATACAGTATATTAAAAAACGTCAGTATGCGTACTAAATCTGCTTGACTTTCGTTCCATAATGCAATGCTCAACAACATCGAGAAGCTGCTCACAGGTGGAAAGAAATCGTTTCTTGTGGTCGATAATAATAAAGTATTAAATAATTGGAAAACATTTTTCCTTCTACCGATCCAGTTTGATAGGTAGTTGTGCCCCAGTTGCTTACTACATCCTGATTTAAAGCAGATTCTCAGTATGTCGTGAGTTCACTATCAAAATTGAATATACTGAAAAGTCATTAAACGTGTTAATAAAAATGCTTAATTTAAAAAAAAAAAAATGAAATTGTGTGTAGTTGTGAGACAGCTACAGTACCGAAAGATGCATAAAACAACACATTTGTTTAAAACGGCGCTCTCTTGTTGTGTCAGTGGCACTCCAAATTTGCAATTTGATTGACGTCCATCATCACACGTATTGTGGTATTATCTGTTGGTGCAAAACAGTATAGAGCATTTGTTTCTGAAAGTAAAGTTAAGAGTTGTAACTGCCATGTTAAAATCTCAAATCTGGTTCATTACACATTTGACTTAATGGCATGTAAGTAAGTAGGTCAAGTTTATATAGCACCTTTCACAGAGCAAGGTCACAAAGTGCTTTACAAGAGTAACATTGTTAACGCCGTAAAGAAACTGTGAAAACAAATAGCAACGATATAGCAATGAGCAACAACAGACTGTCTCTCCATCCATCTGCTCTCTCTCTCTCTGTCCCTACTTGTTTGGCCTCAAAAAAGCCAGCCATCCTGCTGGGTACAGAGTGAGTGAGTGATGGACATTAGTTTCACTTCTCTGTGGCTAAACTGAAGAAAAGGAACCCCATTCCTCTGCCTGCCATTGCCAGCTGTGAGTGGTTGTCAGGGTTGGGGCTGGTCCAGGGCCTGCTAATGGTGCTGTCTGTCTCAGTCAAGTCCTTGAGACCTTGAGTCCCTCAAGAGACACCACGCTCCAAAGTTTGACTGGAATTAAGCACCTGGTGAATGAACAGAGGGCAACTGAGCTGTCACCACGGATGAAATCATTGTGACATTACAAGTACAGTTCACGTCTTGAGAGGCTGTGTTTGAAGATGTTGTCGTGCACTCTTACCAGGCTGAATGTCGGGATTAATCATTTTGCGAATCAGTGGATTTGTGAAAAGGCCGCCAGTAAACAATAATTCCTTGTGTGCCTTATACTAGTTGGATTACATATTGATTATCATACCAAAAGGAGCCAACATTGATGCTGAGAAGGATCCCAGGGGCTTCCACAAACAAACAAGACTAATTCAATGCTTCACTGACACAAAAGCACATTCAATCAAAGCGCCAAATACCATCCTTGTCAAGCATCTGGTAAATAGGTTATTTGGCACCTTAACAACAAGTTGCAGTTCAGGCCCATTCAGATTGTCAGCATACACTACAGGCGTGCTGACTGAGAATGAGAGGCTTAGCCGAAAAAAAGAGGGGCTGCAAGGGAGAAGCTGGGCAGCTGGAGAGTTTAGGACCAGCACTGTAGCTATTACAGGATGTCAGAAAATATGCTTAATTGAAAATGATTAGGGCTCTCATAAAAGCCGATCAAGTCAGGGTTTTGGGAGAAAGCGCAATTGTCCCACATAATCCTCCCTGTCGCTGTTCTTTCATCTGGATGAAGAGATCAAAAAGGAAGGATTTGTAAAGCTCCCTGTGCCGCAGCCACTGAGCTCAGCTTCTCTTCTCCGGTGTTCAATCTCCCTTTCAAATGCACTTCCTCTCTTTCTTCCTCCCTACGTTTCTTTTTGTCTTTTTCGCACTGATGTTTATCAGTGGTCACGAGGTATGTGGAGGTCAACATACGGCCCTTTGTTGTGATTCTTGCTCCCGTTTCACAGTAATATGCGGTGCGCTTTGCATGCAGTTGTAAATCACGATGCGGGCTTGTGTGACAGCATGTTTAGAGCTTGCACAGTATTGCCCTTCATTATCGGACATCAAAGAACAACACACAAATGTGCTCACCCGCACACAAGCCATGGGTTGTACTCCCATGTCTTCCTTTATCCCTCTTCCAGAAGAAGAAGAAAAAAAAAAGACAAGAGGATAGAAAGCGGTCTGAAATGAAAGCTAGAGGGGCCTAGAGAGAGTCAAAGTGAGACACACATAAACATTCACACACACATAGAGGAATCAGCTGTAAGCTGAATGGATCTGAGTTGGGGGGGGGGGGGGGGAGTACACTGCCCTTATGCCCTCTCTTTGAAGTGAGGCACAGGCCATATGTACAGGCCCCAGAGAGGGGCATGTCTACATCCCCCCCATAGGCTGGCTGAAGGCAGCGGTCCGAGCAGAGCACACAACACGCAGAAAAGAATGCAGCTTCCTAACTGAGCTGCTTTCTCTCGACACCACAGAGTGATTTTGTTGAGAGAAAGATTGTTCAGGGCAATGAAACTCACCATACTTGAATTAATGTCTGCAATGTTTAAGGAATTAAGATTTGAGTTTTTGCCCACTTGTTCAACAACCCAGTGGTCTTGATGAAGTTGTTTTAAAGATTGTCTTGTCAGTCACTTTGAAAGTGATAGCATGCAGCTCATTCAAGTTGCCCTCTCAGAGATCTGTAATGGCCTTCACTATTTATCTTAAGATTGATGTAAAATAAATTCCCCCAAACAGCAACATGAGTGATGGATGTTTAGTTCTAGTCTCAACATTTATGTTTAAGTCAGTGGATGAAGAGGGATCGTGTCCATTTGTGTTGAGTGCAACACCATTA